AACAAAATTGCTACACATTGCCATTAAAACTTTGATCTGTGATTTCTTTATTGATTTGTAAATTATGCTGTAAATTAATTTTTCTCTTAACTTTTATTCATTCAGTTGACCTTAGGTGTGTATAATTTATTTCCATTTTATATTGGCATGCAGCCAGAGTTATAATTCCTAAATCCTTAACTCCATTGGTCAGTTAGAGGATTATATCCATTATATTTTATGTTATTCCAATGATTCAGTCCATCCTTTTGGACATTTTGGTTTATTAGACGACACAATTCTTGTATACAGCCCGAAGAACGTTACATAACTACAAGCAGGGGAAAAAAAAAAAACTCACAATACTTGCAGCACCATCTATTCATTTTACATTTAATTTATAACAACCAGTAACATGAAAGTCCTACACATTTCATACGTTAAATTTTTAAAATTTCCTTTAAGTTCTTTTTTTAATATGTAAAACTTTATTCCCCTTCTCGTTAAATTAGCCCTTGTACATAAACCCCTTATCATGTACGATCGAGAGAATTTGATCGAAATATAAACTGGCAAAACTGTGCACAATCGAGATAATTCGAGCGGAATCGTATTTTATGTTTATGTAGTTTTCACACTCGAATATAAGCGATTGCCGTCTGCACTGCTCGTTAGATTAACTGCGATCTGCCGTCACGATTTCGAAAATTTAGGTAAATTAATTTTTATAAAAAATTATTCTTTCCTTTCCTTGACATCAGCATTTGGAACGCAAATGTTTTGTATAAAAAATTGAGATGGAAAAAAAATTTAGATTTTTCAGAGTGAGAGAATATTAACGTCGCACTGATTAGCAACACGAGGGCTTTTGGCGACGGTCCGCGTAATTTTGAACCATGGTCAAGTGACGCGGACGACACCTGAGCTGGCACCCCCCTCTCCTAACTACCACGCCACACCACGGGAGGACGTTTGAGCTCTCGACAGATTTAACGTGCATCGCCCCCCTACACGGCGAGTCTTTAGTGGTACCAGGATCGAACTCATGACACGCTAGCCATGATCCGATGCCTAGACCACTCGGCCACCGCGGCCATTTAGATTTTTCAGAAGCAAATGAGTGTAAAGACTTATACAATGTTAACATAGCGATACAAATATAAAAAAATCGGGTAAGCCTAAATCTTCTGGAATTTTACGGCTAACAAAATGTCATTTTCCCCGGTTTTGTTCGACCAACATAAAAAAAAAGAAGCTCCGACAAGGTATTGCGCTGTATGTTGAGCTAATAGAGTTAGCAAAAGAAAAATTATAGTTTAAAAAACACGCTTTTTTTTTATAGTTAATCGAACTAAAGTGTAACTGATCTTTTAGTCGCCAAATCTGGAAATGGGATCTGAAATGAGTCGCCAGATGCGGGATGGGATCTGAAAATGGGAAATCGTTAATCCTGATAATCCTGAACAGGATAATGGAACAAAACTATTAAATTATTCTATTCTCTTCGGTCTTGGACAAGTGATCAAAATTTCGAATTAATCTGACCTTTTAAAGTGTGTAAAAATTGAGTTAAAGATTCCGTTACATACAAGTGAAGCTTATAAAAAGGGTGCTAATTAAAAAGGAAAAGAAAAGGGAGTCATTACACATGCACACATGTGTAATAATTGAAAAGTTAGGTTATGTGCGGCACCTTGCTTCCAAATATATCGTACAAAAGGAAATTTTTAAGATTTTTTTTAAAATCAGTACTACACTATCATACTATTATTTCTCTTAAAAAGTATTAATACTTTTACTGATTAAAATATTTTTTTTTTTCCGAAGAAACTATTCGAAAAGAAAGATAATAAAAATCGAAGTACGCGCAAGATTGCGATATTTGGTTTTTATCTCCGCAACGTGGATCAAAATCCAATATTAAAACAAAAATTTTAATTGATTTTATATTTTTTTATTTTGTGGCCAAAACAGAAAAGGATCTAAAACGCGTTTTCTTAAATAAAAATAATTAAATTTTCGTTGTTTTTTTTTAAAAAAAAGAAGTGTGTGTAGAGGGATTAAATAAAGAATACAATAATATTTTCTCTTGAATGCAAACAAAATAAATTAATCAAATATCTCTTACTAAACAAAAGCTGTATCTCACACTAATCACAAATAAGTTCATTTCGAGAAAGGATTGAAAAAAAATTGTTTTTCATTTCGAGTACCCATCTTTTCAAATTGATAACATAATTTGATTTTAGTTTATGACGTAAAAATGACATCAAACGTTTTTCAGCACCGATAAGAAATTTTTAGATTCTGTCACAGTGGGTGCAATCAATTGTAAAGATGCGCTTCCTGGTATCACTGCTATTGTGAGATTTTTTTTCTAGTTGAATGTATTTATTTATGTATGTTTCACAATAAATCTATAAATAAATTTTGAAAATTTTGTAAGATCATTTCAAAAGCAAAATTGTTAATTTCAATTCAATTAGTTTAAAAAAGTAGTAGTATTACATTTTTGAAGATAAAATTTTATTTAAAAAAAAGCTCTCTTAACCTTTTAACGCACACTAATTTTAAAAAAAATGGCAAGAAGAATTTTTTAAAATTTATTTAAGAAAACAAATTTTAGAACCGTTTTTTAGCCAAAAATGCAAAATCTATCTTTTTATTTTAATTTTGGATTTCGATCCCCATTGCAGATAAGAGCATATTATAATAACTTTGTACGTATATCGACTTTTATTGTCTTTTTCCCCAATAGTTTTTTCGGGAAAAAAAAACATATTTTAATCAATAAAAATCTTTATCTTAGAACAAAAATAATAGTAATATGGTAGTATTTATTTTAAAAAATTATTCAAAAGTTTTTTTTTTCTCTCTGATACATTTGGAAGAAAGGCGCAGCACACACATAGCCCAATATTGCAATTATTAGTACACATGTAATGACTGTCATTTTTAGTTTCGCTAACATCCATTTTAGCACAACCACACAGCACAGTGTCTTGAGGGAGCTCCTTTTTAACACCCTTTTATAAGCTTCACTTGTATGTAACGGAATCTTTGAACTCCATTTTTACCCACTTTAAAAGGTCAGATTAATTCGAAATTTTGCTCACTTGTCCAGGACCGATGACAATACAATAATTTAATAATTTTGTTCCGTTGTCCTGATCAGGATTAACGATTTCTCATTTTCAGATCCCATCCCGCATCGGGCAACAAATTTCAGATCTCATTTCCAGATTTGGTGACTAAAAGAACACGTTACAGCTTAGTTCGATTAGCTATAAAAGGGTGTTTCTTAGTTTTTTAAAACTATATTAGCAAGTTTTTATTACCTTCACCTGTTTGTAACGGAATTTTTCAACTCGATTTTTACCCACTTTAAAAGATCAGATAAACTCGAAATTTTGCACACTTGTCAAGGACCGATGACAATACAATAATTTAATAATTTTGTTCTATTGTTCCGATCAGGATCACCAGGATTAGCGACTTCCCATTTCGAGATTTGGCGACTCATTCCAGATCCCATTTCCAAATTTGGCGCCTAAGAGATTTAGTTACAACCCTAAAACAAAAATGCGCTCTTGGTTAATACAAATACAACAAGCAAAAGTGTTCTTTATGTGAAAAAGGGGAGGACGCGTCAGTAATTTTTTACTGTATTATAATCAATTGCCCAATTTTTTTTTATACTTTTTAGTTCGATTAACTATAAAAGCGTGTTTTTAGTTTTTAAAACTATAATTTATTTAATTTACTGGTGGAACCAAGCTGGAAAAATGGCGTTTCTTTAGTCGTAGAATTTCTGAAGATTTTGGCTTACCCGATTTTTTTATATTTGTATCGCTATGATAACTTTGTATAAGTCTTTCTATACTAATTTGCTCTCGAAATTCAAATTTTTTTTCACCACAATTTTTTTATACAAAACATGCTTCTCAAATGTCTAGCAAAGAATAGAATACTTTTTAATAGTATTTGTCTAAATTTACGGAATCACGACGATGGATCACAGTCAATCTCACGATTGCAGAAGGTGATCGGTTATATTCTAGTGTGAAAATTACAGCAGCATAAAATACGTCTCCAAACGAATTATCTCGATCGTACACAATTTGGACAATTCAGCGCAATCAAATTAACTTGATCAGGCACATTAAGGAGTTAATTGGGGGCAGGTACGTTCCTAAATCTTTTTCGAAATTGTGCTTATCATTATCGATTCAGCTTTCTGGTCTCCATTACCTTTTTTAATAATCCTTAGGAAGTATGACATTGTAGTAATAAAGTATTTTATTTCTTAATACGAAAAGGAGATTCCTGTCAAACAATTAAAAAGTGAAATGCAAAAATAAATAAATTATGTATTCATTGCACAAGTTGCGGAGAATTTAAAATGCAGTATTTTAACATGATAAACTAACTGATAAAATTGATAAATTTTGTTATAAAAATAATTTTTAAAGAAAGATATTTTAAAAAAGATCATTGTAATGATATTTAAAAAAGATTATTTATGATATCATAAATAATCATTTAAATAACATCATAAAGATTTATGATATATTTTATGATATTAAATATATTTTGTACATTAGTGGGTGTGAAGTTAATCAAACGAATTATAATAATTAACGAGCTTTCTAATTAGTGTAGTCATTGGTCAGCCTAAATAAATATTTAAACGAAAGCTAGAATTTCTTTTTAATTAAATCATTACAAGTAAAGTTAAATATAATTTAAAAGCAGGAAGTTACATTGTAATCTCCATTTTTTCATCGGATTCATTAAAATAACAAAATTATAAAAATTTCCGTACGTTGAAATAAAGACAAGAACCTTGACTGGGGGGGGGGGAGTCAAGACATGGACATAAAAATTGCATATCTTTTGAATATCGTCCACGAAGCTAACATTTTGTGTGGCTATTGACAAGCTAATTTCGGGAAGATCTGCAGTACAGGGGATGATTTTAAATATTTCGATTAATTTTTTTTTATCGCATCTGTATAGCTGCCCCACTCAGTATGGTGGTTATGACACTCGACTTGTAATCGAGTGGGCTCGTGTTCGAATCCCGAATAGGGCGTGGATATATCTTCGGGAAATGAAGTCGGACTTTCGCCTGAAATGGATTCCCGTCTCGAATGGAAAGCAGCGCACCCCTTCTGTTCTATGCTGGAATCATCGTTTGTATAATAAAGTCTATATTCTTCTGTGATTGTACTGTATGTTTCTGTTCATCTATCTCTCGTCTTTCATATGTATCCCAGGATTAAATACACGATAGCAACATCGCATCAGCAGTTACCTGCATTTTTATCTTCATCAAACATGTTACCTCTAGTGCATAAAAATTTGGTTAATCCAAATGTGTTTCTTATACTTATTTAATATACTACGTTCGATGGTTTAAAATGATTGTTGGTGTTATTTTTGACTGTGTGTGAATATTAATTAATTCATCATAAAAAGTAAGATTGCATTTCGAGCTTTCGATTTGTGACCGCGGTATCCAAGTGATCATGGTCGCAATCTCGTGACCGGCGTTGTTGAAACCTAGTTCCTCTGAAATGGGTGTTCATTTGTGGGCATCTGGACTGCATGCAGCCCTCAATCCCGAATCTCGTGGTCTTCGATGTGGGAGACGACGAAAGTGCGGTTTTCTCAGTCTGCTGAGAGGCATGACGGTCATTGGCTGTTGCGAAGAGATCCGGGAGGCGTGCCTAAAAGTTTCTTCATGATGGAGTTTGAGAGAGAACTTTTGGTGTGGTTGAGAGCTTAGAGGGTGCTCTCTGGTTAATCGATGGTTATAGTTCCTCTGAAGACATTTCCTCCATGTAAAGGAGCTGTCGAGACTCAAAGCCCTTCCGTTGGCGCGGTGTAAGGTGGTAACAGTAGCCTAGTAGTCAAGATCACGGACTCGTGAGTGGCGTGTTATGAGTTCGAACCTAGTACCGCTGAAGACCCGCCGTGATGAGGGGGCCGTTTCACGTTAAATCTGTCGAGGCTCAATCGTCTTCCCGTTGGTGTGGTGTGAAAGTTGGAAGAGGTGGATGCCAGCTCAGGTCTCATCCTCATCATTCGAATATGGCTCAAAATTGCGAGGTCCATTGCCAATAGCTTTCGTGTTCCTTCAGAGTGGGACGTCAATTCACATCAAATCAAATTGAGTTTTCGATTTTGATAATCTTAATATCTTGAGTTTCTCTTGTTTATAAAAGTATTTATTTTGTAAAGATATATTTAACTGCATAGCTTTGTCAGACATTTATAATGTGCATCGGAAAAGTTTTTGTTTTTAAATTAATATTTAAGGACAAAATATTGATGAAGTTTTTGTTGTAAATATCTCCTGTGCATCTTTCAATAGTCATAAGAATTTTTGTACTTTTGTACTGTCGCAACCATACCAACTTTCAAGATAAATCACCTAATTGTCAACCCCGATTTCGCAAGTATTATAGGCGCTGAATTGGCAACCATGTATTTTTGATTCATATTTCCACTTGTCGCTATTCGAAGCCTAACTGTTCGTTGATATGGTGAACTCGAACACTAAAATGCAAATCTGAGATTTTCTTAATCCTTAAAAAATAAAATTTGATAATGAAATTTTTGCATAATTTTATATAATTATTATATTATTATATATTGTATACTAAAATAATAAAAAATTATTAACAATAAAATAAAAAAAATTAAAGAAATTAAATTATTAATTTTCTTCTTTTACTGATTATTATTTATTATTTCATATAGTATTTTTCGACTAAGCCTCCATATTCTTGTCAGCGTATTCCGTTTTTGGAATTCGTCCGGTTTTATTCATTTTCATCAAGATGGTTGCGATAGTACTTAAGTACCGAAATATTTTATAGTACTGGTAAAAAAGTTTCATTCCCCTAAATTCTCAGCCACCATTGCCTTCCCTACAATATTTTAAAATGAGATTACGTAATATTGAGAAGGAAATATATATTGAGAGAGAAAGAAAACAATGACGAATCCTTACGTTTCGACTTAATCTATATCTCAGAGATAAGCAACTCAAACTGATAGTTAAAAATTTGATGTTTTAAATTTTTTTTAGCTTTACGAAACTAAAAGTTGTTATTTTCAAGCCGAGAGTGTAAGACTATTGTTAATAAAACAAAAAATATTTTAAACTCAGTATATTCAATATTTCAAAATACATAAAGATTAATTTAACAACCGGTTTATTTATACTGAAGATAAGTTTGTTGAGAAGTTGTTTATTCTTTTGTCTGTAGAAAGGTCGAGCATTATATGTCACAATTTTTGCGGATTAAGGTTTACCCAATCAAGCATATCTGGGGAATCGGATGATTTAAAATGTGTGGTTTTTGTTTTCACATCATATCATGTGCGTAAGTGTTCTGGAATATAAGATTATGCTTTGAAGGTACATAAATTTTCCCACTGCCCATGATTCATGTTTCCTGTAATTTATATAGACTAAATAGTACAGGGTGTCTGATCTTAAAGTATCCAAAAGTTATGGCTTATTAGTACGGAACTACCCATCAGAATGTAATAAACTGTTCATCCGTGGATTGGAAACCCCTCCGAGATTTTTTGGGCCTAGTCCGATTGGCCGCACGTGCGCGCATTATTCAGTAATCGCAGACGATAAACTTGTTACACCGATTTTTTTTATTAGTAATTCTACGGATTCCACAGTGAAAGGTGCAGTGCGTACTTTGGTAAAGGAAATTTAAAACAGTCACGTGTGTACAGCGACTTGTTCGAACAGAATGGAATGTCAATCCCCCGATTTCAAAATCTATCCACCAATGGAAAAGAGCTTTAAAGGAGACGGGAACTTTGGCATCTCAAACTGGCAAGTATCCTTAAGTTTTCGTGAAGAAGTCACTGTTGATCGTGAGCGTGATTCATTTTGTTGGAGTCCTGATAAGTATACGTATTAGACAAGCCAGTAACGACATTCCATTCTGTTCAAACACATTGCTGAACCCGCGTGACTGATTTAAATTCTGTTAACAAAAGTACGCACTGCACCCTTTTACTGCGGCATCCATATCTTTGCTAATAAAATCAGTGTAACAAATTGATCGTCTGCGATTACCGAATAATGCGCGCACTTGCGGCCGATCGGACTAGACCCAAAAAATCTCGGAGGGGTTTCCAATACACGGATGAACAGTTTATTACATTCTGATTGGTAGTTCCGTAATAATAAGCCACAACTTTTGGATATTTAAAGCCCGAATACCCTGCATAAAAAAGATTTTATCCAAATGTAACATTAAATATTGTTATCTTGGATCTCTATTATTCGTGTTGTATGTTTAACGTTTTATTCTCTCATATGTTAAAACAAGCAAACGAAGCAGAAGTAGGATCTGTGGCAGCACTCACAAACCTTTAGAACTTAGTGGACCACTAAATGTAGAATTTTATACTTGGAGGACCACTAATACGATTGACCAGTGGCGTAAAGTACACCTCCGCATTGCGAGGGAGACAGGATTCTAGGAGGCCCACAGCTTGACTGACGCTGAGTATATACCTTTTGTAAGATTCAGCTTGGGGCCCAAAATCAGACTTTGCAGGGAGACCCTAATATTCTTCGTTATTCTTGACCATTATATGACGGATCTCTATAACTATATTGTCAATTATGAGTTAGATTTCAAAATGTAAAGTTTCTTAAGAAAGATAACGTAATCACATACTTAAAATATTATATGAGCAAAGCCAGTTGCACAATGACTGTATTGAAACAATAAATGCACATTTATCACAAAAATTAAAAGGCATTTTAACTTTATGTGTATCTTGTATCGTTCGCGCGTAATTACATATTGATTAGTCTGCATAGCAAATAGATCAGGAGTGAGATTATGTTTAATGTCATAACTCTTTCTAAGATCAGCGTCTTCTTATATCATAATATTGGAGAGGTGACATTAGTAATTCTTAAAATAAATTCGAGAAAAAAAAAATTCTGCTTTTCCTCTTTTTTTTTTCTGTTTCTTCACAGTTTTTCTAGATCTTAAATATATATTACTGTACATTGCATCATGTTAAGGGAATCTTCACAATTTTTTTTTAAATTTTAATTTCAGTAGATATTTGACTTAAGTATAGTTATACACTTATTGTAAATTTAATTTCACATTATTGAATGGGGTCGATTCATCACCAGAGGGTGCTGCGATCTTTTGCCGATTGTAACGTGATTATCAAGTAAACAATACCAGCTAATCGTTTCGTTATGTCTGCAAAATTAAAATTCTTTGAATTCGAAATGCTCAGAAAATATTTCAGACTGTTTTTAAAACTTTAAATATCGTCGCCGTATTTGATAAAAACAAAAAATATTGAAAATGAAATGATGGTACTTTTGTATTATCGCAACCTATTGGCGACATTTTATGAAACGAAGTACATGATTGCCATTTCAGCGCATACGACACATGCAAAATTGGAGTCGCCAACCTGGTGAGTTTTCTTGGCGATTGTTATGATAGTATGTAAGTTCCGAAATAAAAAGTACTCACGTTTCAATTGTAAATAAACGAAGATATTCAGACTTATGGGTTTTTTTATGTTCCATAAAGTAAACACCAAAGTTTTTTTAGACAACGTTTTACAGCACGATTTTAATGTACGCATCACTCGTCACGAGCAACGCATCGAATCAGTACGGGTAATGTTATCTCAGCTTCTGCTAGGGCGGTCAGATTTTGTTTTTTTGACAATTCAATACCTATCGTCTTAAATCTTTCATACCACTTATATATAAACTGGGCATCCTAAGGGTGGACTTCGTTTATAGGTACTCTGAAATTTAAGTTGTGCATGGGTTGCAGATTTAAATTCGATAAACCATGCTACAGCTTGAGCTTGTTCTTGCGGGAAGCCATTTTGAAACGAGAATGTTATGAAACATAGACATTGCGCAATCTTATTTGCATTTCATTTGACAGAAACTTTAATCTTTACTTTGTGGAACATAGGAAACCGTAAACGAAAATATTTTTATTTTTAATTCATTTTTGAAAGTGTAGCCATATTTTTCGGACACCTTATATAATTTCT